CACAAAGTTCCACATGACTGCTTAACACTGATGGACCACCTCCTGACTCCTCATAATGATATATCAGAAATTGCATTAGGTAATGTTGCCTTCTGAAGGTTCACCAATGGTTCTTATTTTAAAGGTGACAACGGCAAATAGTGCTCTGAGTATGCTGTCATAATTTGTTTTGATGTTGTTGAGGCAGCGTCTTTATCTGTGGCTACTTCAGCTCAACAGGCTGAATTACACACTCTTACATGGGCCTGAACTTTGGCCAGGGACAAAACTGTTTATACTGACAGCAGATAGGCTTTTGAAGTAGCTCATGATTTTGGAATGTTGTGGAAGCAACATTTCCACAACATCCTTATTTCCAGTGGAAATAACATTGAAAATGGCCCTTATGTTCAGGAATTATTGTGCACAATAATGTTACCTGCCATTTTAGCTATTATTAAGATTCTGGGATATTCTAAACTTGAAATCTCTGGATGCTAAGAGAAATTACCTTGCTGATATTTCTGCAAGGAATGCTGTCCTTAAAGGGACCAACAGCATCCAAACCTCTGTCGTGGTCCAAAAGGTATTTCCAAATTATCCAAATGATAATTTAGAAAACCTGGCTAGAAAGGTCCAACAATTGGCCTCAGAAAAGGAAAAACAAGATTGGAAATTCAATTATTGTTGGTTTGATAAAAAGAGAAAGCTCTGGTTTGAACCAAATAATGATGCAGGCCTACCCGAGACTCTAAAATGCTCACTCCTCACTACTGTACATGCATTAAACCATTGATCTACTGACAAAAATGATACCTTCATGAATCAATATTGGTGGGGAAACATTAACAGGGCCACAAAAAGTGCCTACCTCACTTGTCCCACTTGTCCAAAGTATGGCCCAGGGAAGTCTGTTCCTACTGCTCCCAGACATTTTAAACTGCCAAACGGACCATTTGAGGTCTAGCAACTGGATTTCATACAACTTCCTCTGTCTAATGGATATAAATATGTTTCAGTCACAGTCTATATGTCTTCACCGTGGACTGAAACCTTCCCTTGCAGACCATTTACTGCCTATTCTGTGGCTAAAGTTGGGAAAGATTATTCCTTCCCGGAAGAAGTCTTCTTGAGTTTCATAGTGTTCGAGTAACCCATTTTATTGGCCAGGTGCTTTGCCAAGTCTTGGCTGTTTGAATGGTTTTACAGCAGTCACTGGTGTGGATTGTTGCCTCAATCCTCTGGTTTAGAAGAACACACTCAGTGCATCATTAAGACTCAACTGGCAAAATTTGTAGAGGCTCTCCGAATAGCTTGGCCAGAAGCACTGTGGTTGGTCCTTCTAAATCTCAGATTCACCCCTTTTTGAACTCATAAACTCTCACCCTTTGAGATAGTGATAGAACGCCAGTGCACTTGGCTCTTGCTTCTTTTGACCCACAACTGCTAAAAGGAAAGACCCTCCAATACTGCAAAGACCTAATTCATTCTATTAAAAACCACTATGAGTTTTCGAAGAGCAATCTGTTCACAGTGCACCCTTGCGAGACGAAGACCTCAAGCATCATACCTTGCAACCTGAGATTTTTTCTATTGAAAAAGACACTTCCAGAAGTACTCTCCTCAACCTTCCTGGAAAGGTCACTATCAGGTTACTGCTAAGCAACCCTCGTGCCACCAAACCCCAAGGAATAGACTCTTGGATTTCCATGACATACCTAAAAAAGAGCGCCAAGCACTGACTGGACCTGCACATAATTTGGTGGCCTAAAAGTAAAAAAAATTCCCAGTATTGGAGGAGAGGACATCTGATGAGACAGTGTTCCCAAGATATCCAGAGCAGGCCTGTTGGAAGTTTGTTGCTAAACCTTTGATAATGATAGAACACAGCAGATGATCTCCAGTTTCTATGATCTTGACAACATAGAGACTTTAAATAATAATGCCTGAGAGTTCTCCCTCCTAACCCTCCTTGTTACCTGAATATGACTTTAATAGGTTTCCAATCTGAGCACTTTCCTTCTCACATGAGACACCACCCAGGAAAGATCCTTCCTGACACTGAGGGACAAAAAGCCACTGAAACCTGAAAACCTGACTCTTGATCAGTGATGCTTTTAGAGAAAGATCATGATCAAAAGAGGGATATGTAAAAAAATTAATAAACAGAAACCTCAAGTAAAAATAGAGCTTGGGCATCAGAAAGGGGAGTCTCATACCCTGCAAGAATAGCAGAGCCCAACTGGACAAAGAAAGACTTCTTTCCTGGCAAGAACTCAGCCATTGAAATGCCATGGACTCTTTGTTTACTACAGCCCTCCCAACTTCCTTTTTCACTCTATAAAAGAGTTCTCCTTCCCTTGCTGTGTGGGGACTTGCATGTGCCTTGCCATGGTCACGGACCCTGAACTGCAATTCTCTGCTGATCCTAAATAAACCCATTTTTGCTGGAGAAATATCTGGAAGTCTATTTGTTTCAGGTCAACACTCTGAACACATCTTCAAATATTTGTAGATTGATATTAAAGCCAAACACAACATTAAACTATTTGGACAATATTCTGAATGCAGTCATAAAATATGCTGAGATATTTTAATAAGTTCACAGTATGGGCAGCTCAGACCCTTTCTAAATAAATATCAACTCAAGTTTTCACTAAAATAAGATCTTTTTAAACTAATTATTTATAAATCCCATCTTTTTATATCTTGATATTTCAGTCATCACTGAGGCTAGCTTTATGTGTCATCTCATGAGATGTAACTATCCAAAAACTGAACTGTAATACCAAAATTGGAAAAAATATAGTTTTCTACATCAAATGAGTATTAACAGCTTTTTACATCTTCTAAATAAGTTTGGATATCTGATTCATGGTGTGTTTCTCAACATTAGTTGTTCCCAGGCAGTCACACAATTGAGTCATTCAAGATGACTTGCAAATGTCCTCAGTGAACTTCACACACACTTTATGATTTGTCTAGAAATTGTAGATGGTATTTCTTTCTTTTTTTTTCTAATTGCATACACTGTGATGTCATAAAAATAAAACAGGAAATGATTTATTTCACTACTATTATTTGCAAAATCTCAAAATTCAAGCAATAATATCTACAGTAGGTATGGCATTTTTTTATAGTTTTTATACTGAGATTTGAATCCTACATTTTTTAACTTTTTTTTTTTTTTTTTTTTGTGGTACGCGGGCCTCTCACTATTGTGGCCTCTCCCGTTGCGGAGCACAGGCTCCGGATGCGCAGGCTCAGTGGCCATGGCTCATGGGCCCAGCCGCTCCGCGGCATGTGGGATCTTCCCGGACCGGGGCACGAACCCGTGTCGCCTGCATCGGCAGGCGGACTCTCAACCACTGCGCCACCAGGGAAGCCCTGAATCCTACATTTTTTAAATGTTGAATTGTTCCACAGTTTAAGACTTAAATCTTCAAGTACTTAATACACTCAGTAATTCTTAAAACAAGTAATACCACTGGCCACAAATATTTTAAATGGAAGCTCAATAATGATGTTGCTTCTTTTTTACTTTTGTGACAGCTCTGTATTAAAATAGTTCTTACCTTAATTTTATACCAGATCTGATATAAAATTTAATGTTATTTGTTCTGATAGTTGAAAATGAAGATTTAAAAAAATTTGAAATAGTGTGTACATGGTTTTCCTGAACACATAAGTATCACATTTTCCCATTTTATCACAACATAGTATATAAAGCAAGGTAATAAATGCAACATTATAACATTATGAACTCAGTATATAAAATGCTCAAAATTACTTAGAAGAATATGCTCACTGTATATCTTTAAAAATTCAAATGTATCTACGCATATACAAACACACACATACAAATAGGGACAGAACTACCTGTAAAATTATTTAGGCCTCTGGAATGCAAAAATGTTAAATTTGATGCTTAAGCTATTTGCTAGGAACCAAAAATATCCATAATATGTAGTTACTTGTGGTTTAGTTGAGAGAGACATTTCAAAAGCATACAGGGGTATACAAAACCAGTTACTTTGCTATCAAATGAACCTTCTGACAACCCAGGCCAGCATCTCAACAAGGCTTGGATTAATTTATTTTGATCTTATTTGAAGTAATTCAGAAAGGAAAAAAAGTCATGTTTAGTAAATATGTTAATGTCACCATCGCACTAATGTAATATAACCCATTATATGTAGCAAACTTTGTAGGCATCAACTATGTATAGGCCATTACATGTCTAAAAGAACAAGTTCGTTTTAAATAGAAGTGTGTTCTGGAGGATATTTGTAAACTTGGAGATTTTCTAAAAACTGAGGACATATCTTTTCTAAGTGCCAAGAGTTTTCTTTATAAGGACTATATACAAGGATGACTATACTGCCACTAAATATTTTGATTTTTATTACCTCCATTTAAAATATGTTCAACTATCTAGAGCATGGCTTACAGTTAATCACATAAGTGTTAAATTCTTCAACATAATTTTTCATGCAGTATTATTATTTCCAAGTGAGTATTTCCTCCATGGCTGATAACTGAGCTTTCTAATTATATCGATAAATAGCATCATAAATTGCTAAAGAGCCCACAATAAATAATTTTAAAGGGTAAAAGAATCACACAGGCAGTTGGCTATTTTTATGCTGGAATAGCAAAGCGTATAGTTTTTCAAAGCAAAGTATAAGGCTTTTTATACAGGCCAGAAAATAATTTATCAAAGATCATGTTTGCTCTATTTTTAGCAAGATAAAGCAAAGCAAAACAAAAAGACATCTCATGAAGGAAAAAACCTGTTAGGTTGGTGTATTCTGCAATGTCTTTGCAAGTAACATATTTTGCTCTGCCAGAGAAAGACAGTTCATATCTCTCATCATAGCACAGTTAATTCCCGCTATGGCAAAGGTATTCAGAACCATATAGTTCTAGATTTCAAATAATCTGAGTTAATTGAAGTTCTGAGATATTCTGAAATTTGGGGATTGCTAACATATAAGATTATAAAACAAATGTAAACTCACCCTTCTAATCTTACATCCGGCAAACTTCTGTTAAGGGCAATCAAATCGCTGGCCATAAGGTTAAACTGATTGATTTTAAACAGTTCTTTCATTTTCTCCTGGTCATCTTTAGGAATCAGCACAGCCTTTCCCATTTCTCCTGGCCCTTCTTGGTTTCTTGAAATAACAGCTGTAAGACACACACAGGTACACACATACATACAAACATACAGATAATGAACTGAAAATATAAACTCATGTGTTGGATTAGATTTTAAAGGGTATCACTTATAAACTGGCTTAATCATAAAATCATCAAATCTCTATTGCCACTTACAAACCATGCACTACACTAAAGAAACAACTTATTTTAATTCATTAACTCAATGCTGCATGTTGTCCTTCAAGTCTATCACATATCGTATGATCTGACTAATCATTAAGACAATAATTAAGCAACACAAAACACCAACACTTAAAACTTCTCTTTCATGTTTTTTAATACACTTATTAGAGAGGGATGAAGTTGAGCTCTGGGCAGACTAAGTTGTACAAAATGATAAAAGAGAAATTTTAAAAACTTACCAAGATTAATTTACTTTTACATCCACTTAAATATTTTGGTATTTCAAATATCTACTGCCATTATATCTTTATAAAAGCAAGCAAGGTTGGCAATGCTTTATCCCCATCAGAATTTGATTTCTTTGTCAAATCATTTTCAAATAAGTGAAAAGAACTTTCATAGCAGTGACATATAATTTTAAATGTCAAGTTGGATTTGGAGGCTATGTGTTCCATAACTGGAATTTCAGAGCAATATTCTGGGCTTGATTGTTTTTATTAAGAGCATTCAGGATTCTATACAAGCTAATGTTCTTGCCATTTCCTCCAAGTTATCACCACACAAATGTCCCTTCTAGCTATAAAATACATGGTTCAATGTGTGTGTGTGTGTAGGCACATGCATGCATGCATATGTCTGTATGTATGCTAATATATAGTAATAAGACAAGGTTCCAGTCAACCCTAATGTACCCATAACTTACTTTTCATAATGATATTAAATTAGGTTACCATGAAAGAAACGTAGTTCTGGTCTTGACTCTTCCAATGTTTTGCTGTATTATAGCACCTAACACATTAATCTTACTGAGTTTAATTTCCATATACTTTAAAGGGCAAATACATGGACCCAGATTACTTTAAAATGTATTTAAAATTTAAGGAATATTAAAAAGCTAAAACTAGAAATACCATATGATCCAGCAATTCCACTCCTGGGTATATATCCAGAAAAAACTAAAACAATAATTTGAAAAGATACATGTGCTGTACCTCAATGTTCATTGCAGCACTATGTATAAGAGCCAAGATATGGAAGCAACCCAAGTGCCCATCAACAGATGACTGGATTAAGAAGATGTGGCAAGCATATATATATACACACACACATATATATATATGTATATGTATAGAATATTACTCAGCCATAAAAAAGAATGAAATATTGCCATTTGCAGCAATCTGGATAGACCTAGAGAACAGTATGCTTAGTGAAATAGGACTGACAGAAAAAGATGAATACTATATGATATTACTCATATGTGGGGATCTAAAAAATAATACAAATGAGTGTACATACTAAACAGAAACAGACTCATAGACATAGTAAACTTACTATGTTTACTATCTAAAAAATAATACAAATGAGTGTACATACTAAACAGAAACAGACTCATAGACATAGTAAACTTACTATGGTTACTATGTTTACTACTCACCCTACAAATTTAGGGTTACCAAAGGGGAAAGGGAGGGGGAGAGAGACAAATTAGGGGTATGAGATTAACAGATACAAACTACTATGCATAAAATAGATAAGCAACAAGGATTTACTGTAGAGCACAGGGAATTATACCCAATATCTTGTAATAACCTAAAATGGAATATAATCTGCAAAAAAAAAAAGTTGAATCACTATGCTGGATACCTGAAACTAACACAATTTTGTAAGTCAACTATACTTCAATACAAAATTAAAGGATAAAAAGCATGTGAAAATAATCCATAAATTACAGCATTTCATAGAATATAAATTCTAATATAATATAAGAATATGGTCAAAACTAGGGTAGAACACAATAAGGAGACTTTCCTCTGATTTGACAATAATTATAAAACATCAAAACTGATATTACCAGTACTAATACACAATGGGTCTTCCAGTAGATTATTTTCTGTGAAAGGTTATTCTGAGTTTGGAATGGCAGGAGTCAAACTATAAAAGAGATTTAGGCATCTCTGGGGAACTTCAGATACGGGTATCATGAAGGTAATTAGCCCGTAAATCCTCTTATATGTAGAAAAATGGTAAGAACCGGGATTTTTAAATGAAAAAGATATATGTATTCAACCTCAAACTATTAAAAAAAGTTATCTTAAAGCTTATGAAGACTCTCATTCACTTTAAGAAGCAAAAATAGAAATGATGGAAGGAATTTTATGAAAAAGCATGTTTTGTTCAATTTGTGAATTAGAATTCTAACAGTAATATGTTCCCTCAGGAGTTAGTAAGCCTATTGTCCCTGAAATCAGACGGAATTGTTGGCATTGGCTTTGGGTGAATTTGTGCTGCTGGTGAGATGCTGGACCTAGATAGGGCTTAAAGTACTTTTCATTTCTAGGATTTCTTTAAGTTTTGATTCCATAGAAACTGTTAAAAAGAATTTTTATAGTTTCCATAGGAGTCCTTCTAATTCTGAAGTAAAGGACATAATCAAGCTATATAATACTACCCACTGACCATAGATATTTTATATATGTGTCTGTATCTATATCTATCTAGAAGGAAATAGGTTTTCAATCTTGATTGGTAGAGATAGATAGGTAGATGATAGATATTTTACATATTCTGGTCTGTAACCTTAATGTCAGAAAATATAGGATTAATTTTTTTCTGGGAAAAAGAATTTTTGATTTTTGATACATTAAAGAGAGCTTAAAGAATTTGAGGTTAAAAAAATTAGAATTTTTAGAAATTAAGAAAGCAATTCATTCACAGTTCTTTAAAATGTCCTCTATAAATTCTAACAAAAACACCTTACATTGCAGAGAAAGGCACTAGCATCAATGCAATGCTACCAAGACTATGAAATAGATAGGAATGACTTTTACGCTATGTAGAAAAACCATGGAGCTCAACTCCATCATTGTAGAGAATGAAGATCAAGTTATAGCACATTGAAGTACTTGTTTTTTGTAATATATTCAAAGCTGTGACCATTTCCTTGCTTAGCATTTTGAAAATTATAGTTTTGTCAGTGGTATGGTAGAGTAAGTATCTCATTTTGTAGTCTTATCAACAAAAATAAAATTGTCATAAACAGTATCCATATACTTAGAACTAGTTTGCAAGCACATATAATCATTCTCCTTAATTATTCTCAGCTTCTTAGTGAAGAATAGATGACAACTTAATGTGTATCAGGTTAAGTGTCTCCTCCCCAAAGTTAAATATACTTTTCTATAATAGCCTCTAATGAATGCATATTTGACATTTTACAAAATGTTTTTTCTTATGCATGAGCAGACCTATTGGTATTTTTCACCTTGCTCAAGGAAAAAATGCTAAGTGATTATAACGTGGAACCAGCCTTTTTCTTTTCCTGGCTCTTACCTGGCAGAATACATATTGCTAGAAGAAGCAGGGTTTTTTTTTTTTATTATTCAAATAATATAAATAGGAAATAGAAAAGATTGTGCAGTTTAGTATGTAGTTTATCTCTGATCTCCAGTACCTTTAAATAGCAACTTTTATTTTTTTCTCACCTGTTTATTTCTCTCCTCTACATAGTTTAAAGAAAAAGAAAATCCACCCACACACCTACAAGATACCATGCTCCTCCACAGCCAAAGTAAAAAAACAGAAAGAAAAGTCATTGAAGTTTTGGTGTTACCTTTCCACTCTTAATAGGCAACTATACTGGAGAAGGCAACTAAATCTACATTATACCTTGACTATTGATTTAAATATGGATGGAAATGTCCCAATTCCAAATCTGGTTTGGACTGTAAAAATAAATTAATATACTACGCTGGAAGGTATTTTCTTCCTAATTATATGGTTAAATAATTAAAAATGATAGATAATTTGACTCAATATGACATTATAAAACTTGTTGAAATATAAAAGCAGAATCATTATATATATGTACATATATATAACATATATCTTTCATTTTCTTTAATAGTGCATACTGTATAGATTAAATGAGATTTATTTTTATCATAGAATTCCCATTGATAAAATGATGGCCACCAAAATATAAATAAACCAACTGATCAGTCTACCAAAACGAACACTACATATTAATTGCATTATGGCTTATGTACATTATGAACACTTTTTCAGTTGCAGAAATATCCCATTAACAATAAGCACTGTCTATTTGAAAAAAGAGAGATAAGACAGTTTATATTTAAAAACAAACTAGAGTAAAATAAAATTTAGGTCATTTTAAAGTAAAGATTTTATTATGTTAAAGAACATAGTAATATATGATGCATATTGGTAAAAGCATGACACTGGACCAAAATCTAAATGTTATCCCATCTGCCATACTTTCCAAAAAATTACCTCAAATTATATTTCTATCCTCAGATCTACTCAGCTGTTAATTTCTGTATATTTGCCTTTAAAATCTTTCTTTTCAATGATACTGCAGCTCTTCTCTAATTTTCATCTCTTCCAAATCGTCAATTGAAATAAATTTAAAACCTTGACTTTTAATCTCTCTCATCTTTGAATATTCATACTTCATTGCTAATAATCAGTTTCCCTAAGACAATGCTGTTTGCCTTGTCAATCATAAACAAGTCTGCAGTGGAGTCAGAAGATGAGGAAATCACACTAGCCCTTGGATCACCATCCCACCATCCAAACCATTTTGCCTTCCACTCAGTGTTCCGTGGGCCATGCTCTTTTGCAAATCTACAGACCCTGAGTTTATAAAGAATAATTCTTGTTAAAGTAAAGGAACTCCGTATATCTTTACTTTGGCCCATTTCTATTAGAAACAATGATAGACTTCAAATATCAATATTATAATACAGAGCTTAATATATATATATATCAAACAAAATTCATTCTATTTAATGTGGGAATAAATGGCAATTCACTTGCTACAC